GGCTTCCTAAAAACTACTGCATAAGTTTTGTCAAAGCCTCCGGTAGAATTTCTATTAGCTCATTGGACTTTAAATATTTTTAGATATTTTATTATTGATGTAAATGTCTAGGTTTCTAATTTTGATTTTAAAATTTGTTATCCATAGATCATTCATTGTAAATCATGTTTATTAGTTTAGTTATTGCAGGTCCACATTAGGTCTTTTGTCTTATCTAATCTTTGTAACCTGGTATTAAATACACTATGTATGAAAAAAAAAAAGAAAGAAAAATATTTTGTCTTAGAACTTTCCCAGAGGTATTTTGTTTGCTGTGCGTTGGGTTGTAACTTTTAAAAAGATGTAATTTTTGCCATTTTTTTTTTATACATGTGCATGTGCTTTTAATCATTCAAACTTTTGTGGTCGTTGTAGTTTTGATCACTCATGGAGGCTGTGGGATCTTGAACAGCTGAAGGAAGTTCTGCATCAGGTAGCTCACTGTTAAGAATTTGCTGGGTTGTCAATATTGTAAGGTTAAGTTTAAGAAGTACTTTTGACTTTTGTGTTTCACAAGTTTTTGTCCATTTATTTTCATTGAAATACTTACGAATAGTTTGATGTTTTGTATTTCAAATTTTAGGAGGGTCACTCGAGAGAGGTGTATAACATCGCATTTCAGGTTGATGGTTCACTTGCAGCCACATGGTATGATTCTCTTGACGAATTACAAATACAGTGTCCGCTTTGCTTGCCTTTTGGTGGTGCAGTATGGAGATAACTACAATTGTGAGCAAAAGTCTTGGGACAAATTTGCACTTGTGGCGCTTTTTCATACGCGCCAAACAAACAGTAATGAGCAACTGCAACTACACTTGCCCAGCATCTCTCCCCAAGCCATCTAAAATGTTGAAGACTTGTACCTACAATTTCTCTGAAGTTTCGACATTTTAATTGGTGGAGGAGGGAGGAGCAGCAACGCAATTTTAAAGGATAGCAGTGCTTTTTCGAACTTCAGTCGTAAACGACACATACACCTGTAATTCGTGGCATTACATCAGTGTGCCAAGAACTTGTTTGCATCATTAAAGCTACATGTACAGTTTATACATGCATATCACATCCTGCAAATTTTCCTTCCTACAGTAGATTGAGTTTCAGTCATCATCTGAGAAAAACTAAGTTTGTTTCATATTACGACTTCCTCTTGGTGTGATCATTGGTAACTGTTAGGTGAATTCACGCTTACCTAGCATAGGTGAAGAATTCTTCTGACAGGTTCTCGGATTGTAAGCGAGGAGAACGTGGATAGGGTGTTAGTATTTTACCGTATGGCTGTCTGGCTGTCCACTGCAGATTGTGAACAAATGTAATAATGCCCAGTTTTATTTTTTCAGTGGACTTGACGGCCGGGGCCTGGTGTGGGACCTGAGGACAGGTCAGTGTATTATGCCCCTGGATGGACATTTGAAAAAGGTCCTTGGAATAGACTTTGCGCCTGATGGGTGAGTACAATGTAAAAAACAAGGTACCTGGCTTGATAGAAACAAGGCAACCCACGAAAAATGACCAGTGACTTGACGGAAACAAGACTGGAACTACGAAAACGAGAGGTGAATCTAAAAACTTCAAGTGACCAGAGAGAAACGAGGGTTGGTTAGAAAGACAGGAAAAAAAAAAGAGAGAAAGCCTGCAAACGCAGACGATGTCTTCCTGTTGTCGCACTCCGCCGTTAAACAACAGGAGGAAATCTGCAACGTTACAGCTAGGTTAGGCTTAAGAGAAACGAGACTAAAATGGTAACTTAACTTTGGGCGTTGCTCACGGTTAATTGTATGGCTCATTCTCGTATGGGACCAAGTTGAAGTTTTGGGGAAACATTGCTTGTGTTTCAGATATCGCATAGCCACCGGCAGCGAGGATCAGAAGATGATGATTTGGGACTTGCGGAAGAGACAAAGTGTGTACACAATTCCTGCACACACTAACCTTATATCACATGTCAAGTTTCACGGTGAGGCCTGTTGTCATGTTTTCTTTGCTCCTATGGATCCATACAGTACGTTTAGTAATTATATCAAACACGAAGGACCGTGCTTGAAGTGTTTGGAAATGTGAAGAGGGCGACAATGGAGAAATAAAGTCGTTAACGTTTATGCTAATCAAGATCAGATATCCAAACATCTTCACGGTCATGATTTGAGAAGTATATGACTGTGTATAAAAGGAAGACTGTGATCAATGTCTCTGTTGGTACATTTTTCCAAAGTTAAGATCTTAACAACAACAACAACAACAACAACTTTAGTCATTCGTACATTTACAGTTCTATAAAAATATTTATAAACAGAAGGACAAAAAAAAAAATGTACAATTCGAGTCTGGAGACTGAAGTAAACCGAAAGTTTTCTAGTCAGTCTCCAGTTATTGTAAGGTTTCTATTGATATTTAAGGGAATACAGGACTGTTACGAGGAGTTGTGGACATGGTATAATAGAATGGAGTGCTAATAGTGCCATGAAACTGTGAAACTTGATATGTATGCACTATATAAGCTTTTACATTTCTATTTGTATTGAGTTCGGTACCCAATGTTATGTCGTACGTTTGATTAATTTCCTTTAGTTATCGAGTACCATTTATGCTATTACTGCCTTATGTGTTAGTTCTTCGGCTGAAGCTTTTCGTTTTGTTTTACAGATGACTTCTTAACCTCGGCGTCCTACGACACCACAATTAAGGTGCTATCTAACAAATTGTCGTTGATTTTGATGATTAATTGAGTCCTAACATTGTCAAAGTCGCTGTGGATCCAGGAACAACACTTTTCTTTTTACAATACCATATGACAAACTTAGAAATATTGGTAAAAATCGATCTTGCCGTCGTGCCATTTAACCACCTTACATGCACAGTTGGGACGCGCGGTGGCCTCATGGTCAGTGCGCTCGACTCCAGATCAAGTGGTTCAGATTCTAGCCCTGGCCAGGGAAATGGTGTTGTGCTCTTGGGCAAGACACTTTACTCTCACAGACCGGCGGATTTAATGCTGGGGGTAACCCTGCGATGGACTAGCATCCCATCCAGGGGGAAGTAGAAATACTCCGAGTCACTTCATGCTTCTGAAATCGGGATAAGTTCCGGCCTGTTGAGCCACTAGGCTCGTACGCAGACTTTACCTTACCTTTTTACAGGTACAGTACTTTATAAGGGTGTTTGTTTTTGCATTTCCAGGTGTGGTCTCACCCTGGATGGGCGCCGCTCAAGACTCTGACAGGTCATGAACAGAAGATCAGCTGTGTTGATGTTTCACCAGGTCTGTATTCTGTTAATAAACTCCCCAAGAAATTCGTCGTGTTTTGTGTGGCCACCCTGTGTTCACTGCACCCCGATAGTCCCTCGAATCTCTTCTATGAACCTCGAAGTTGTCGAATGAACTGGTGAGCGCGCGTACACAGCTGCAAGTTCCAGATGAAAAACCAGTCGGATCGTGATTTCGCACAGCCATGAAGTTTTATAATGTTAATCATTATGTCGAGAAATAAGTTGAAAGTGTCACATTTAGGCAGCGTCCACACTAGGCCGAAGAAATTTGAAAACGCGTCTACGGTTTCGCCTACCGTCCACGCTAATCCGTCGCGGAAACGGAGCATTTCGAAAACGCTGTTCAAACCGGAGGGATTTGAAAACGCCGGCTTTTCGTTTTGGTGTGGACATAAAACATTTTGAAAACAGAGCTTTTCGAAAACGATTGCGCCGCGATAAATGATGTGATTTCCCCGACTGAGGTTTCCTACAACACAAATCCAAAATGACCGGTGTCCTTCTTGATTGTTGCGTTGTGAAATTCCTGCGGCCTAGTGTGGACGGGGCCTTAGATTTCAACTAGGATAACTTGGTCAGTCGCTCTCGATTTCTCTGAGGTGATAGCTGATTCGGCTTTTGGCGTTATCAGCCATGACACTGCCGTGACATTGTTTGAGCATTCAGTGAAGTATCTGGAAATAAACTGACAGCTCTCCCTTTTCTTCAGATGGACAGTATATTGTGTCAAGCTCCTTTGATCGTACTTTCAAACTGTGGGCGTCCGACTAAAGATACTTCCGACAGCATTCACATCAACGATCCCAACAGAGACTTCAGTACTTCTCCTCAGGTATTGGTCGCTTATTCATCCACAGCGTTGGTCAAAGACATGTATAGGGTCACTGATGCGTCACGTGCGTTACGTCACATGTGTACATACTGTTTAGAATTGTTTTATCAATTAAAGGTTTTGAGAAAGTAACGTGGAGTGTATAACATGGCTTTTATACTTCTTTGTTACTTTAAAACAACCCATTTCCCCTATACTAGCACGATGAGCAGCACAACCATCTACTGCATGCATGAGCCCGATAACAAGTTCAGAAGTTACAAAAAGCAAGTCTGAATGGCCAGTCGTCAATAATTATTGCTCTCAGCTGCTCCAAGGGGTTTTAACTTCGGAACACGGCAGACAGACGACAAACGGCTTAGACCTGATCCAGTACGTCGGTTTTCGACCCTGGTCCCACGCGCGAAAATCCTTAGGTCAGGCAAGCTCATTTTGTGGGTGTGGTTAATTATTGCAAAATAACGAAAAGTTTTGAAAGGGTTTTATGGGAGTTCTAGGACGTTTAAAAATACTCTTTTACTCGAGACATTTCAAACAGCGATTGATTTTTTCGCCAAGCTTATTACCTGAAGCGGAACTTTGTGTGATACGAAGAAAAAAACACTTGAAGCATGTCGTTATATGACAAAGGATCTTTGATTTATGTGAAAATAGAGAATGAACTATGCAAAGCCCTTTGGAGAACGATTCCCCAAGAGGTTTTCGGTTTAAATCGATTTATAGAAAACGGGTTATTCAAAAGATGGCTGAGATTTGCTGAAAGTAACGCAAAACTATTAACATTTCAAAAAATTGTTCAGTATGCGGCATGGCGGAGTATAAATATATTTTGGTTACATCATCCTCTACATCATCAGACCTTAGCTCGTGGCAGAATTTGGAGGTTCGGTTCCATTCTCGTCCCAAGAGATGCCTTTCTCTCTTAATCGGCAGGCCAAGAGCAAAAGGTGATTTGACAAACTGACGTCAGTTTTTGATGAGTCTGTCCTGTTATTGATCATGAATTTCGTCATAACATTGTCAAACCAGCCGTGGATTCACGAGGCGATAGCCGAGTGGATCCGCAGACTACTTTGACAATGTTTTGACGAAATATATGGGCAATAACAAGACAGACGCATGACACGACCTCAATTTTCGTTTTACACTAACAAAACGGCCAGTGAGCGCGCGAGAATTTCTGCGGTTATTGTGAAAATACGATTTGATTGGCTAGTGTTTTGTAATAAGATTTTCTTAAATTGAATGCTTGTTTCCTTCTCAGATGTATCCAGTGGTTTATTTCTAACTAAACTGTTCGATTAGAGAGTACCAACAGATCTTTAGAGATTTCGTCAAAGGGAATATCTTTAACAACGGAAGAGGCTTACATATGATTCGTTATTGAGGACTTTACTGAAGCCAGTTTTAAGTTTCCTGTTTTAGTTCCTCTAATCTAATTTTCGGGTATGAAACCAGCGTCGAATTATTGAAAATCTGTCACCAAAGCCACGTTTTCCTCTTGCCAAGTCCCCGTCGGCTAAGAGAGACAGGTGGCTCTGGGCACGAGAATGCTTGTGACTCTCCTCCAGTCGTCCGTGCAAAACGTTCCCCGCAACACCAACTAATTTATCACTTTCAGTGAAAGAGAGAGGGGTGTTCAACGGGAAAATCCTATCATAACTCGTTTCACACGTGCGGCAGATTTGTCTGGAAATGCATCACTCAATTTCAGCTTTAACCAACCCCCACCCCTCTCCGGGATAAGTTACCGTAGGGCATTCGCTCACATTTCGTATCCGGGGGCATTAAGCCAGGGGTGGTCTGCGATTCGGGAGAGATGGGCACTGCTGGAATTGAGCATTTTTAGGAGAGTCATCGGCTTAATATATCTACGTTTTCCCATTACAATGAGTACGTGATTCCCAGCGACAGAAGCAACATGTCTTCCCCAGTCTTTCAAGTATCATCTCTTTCGGAAGTCCTCCATTGCGTGCCCCTGTTTTCGGGGCTTTAAACTTTAATTACCCGCAGTTAACGTTGAAAAATTCTTGGTACTTTACGTTGTACGATTGTCGTTCAAGTGCGCAACAACGATGCATGGGGTCTGCTATTAATTTTTTTCGCATTTCAAACTTCAATTATTTCTGCTGTGCGAGGTTTGCGCCTTTATAAATCTTCTAGGATGAAGATAAACAAAGTCGTGTTTTTGATGTCAAATATTTTTTGTTCAGTTTTTCTCGTTCCCGAGGAGATACACTGCCTAGCATGGAATGTGTTAATATGTAAGTCTACAATTTGCTTGTGATCTGTGTATGCGTTCAATTATTTCCAACGAAGTAATTTTCTCAGTTTTCTAGTAATTTTTCAAGGCCCAGTTGCTTCTGACGATTTTAAAGCGCGTTTTCGAGGAGTTGAAATTGTGGAGAAGATATTGTCAGCAATTTAAAAAAAGTCAACTACTATCGAGGAAGAAATTTTCTCGTAAAAAAAAATCGTATTGTTACTTACCTAATATTCAAATTTGGTCTGTTATCATTGGGTGACAACGAAATTTGCATTTAAATACTATTTGCGCGTAGTAACTTTATTTAGGTTTGACTTTCAGATAACTTAATAGTTAACGCGAACCGTTTACAACACAAAACGAGGATGTAAATTTCTCCCCAATTATTCGCAACTCGAATGAAAATTCTGAAGCCGCGGAGAAATCAAGTTGGTGTTCATGGAGTGAAAAGTAAGTCTTGTTTGTTTCTGTTGTTTGGCTATGTGACTCTGTGTTTCTTGTGTCATATTAATTTGGAGTTAATTGCCTCGTGTGACGGATATTTGGCGAGCAGGAGTTTCAGAACTGACTGGAATGTGTTTGTATCTTTAAACAGATGCGGATGAAAACTACACGGGCAAAGTACAGCTCGCTAATTAGAATTCATCGACGGATCGCTCATTGCTGTTAAATTGTATGGTCTTCGCTCGGTAGAGCGGCAACACCGTCCTTCAACAAGTGTTAAAGTTACAGGTACGCAAAAAACTCGGTAACTTGTCGACAAGATTTGAGCGTAAATTGACTTCAGCTATCACCGAAATGTTCGATTATGTTTGCGACGCGAGATTCAGTTTAAAATTATCAGATTGCGTTGTGAATATGTAGCGAAAACTGCGTTTCCGTCATGCGGCGTTTTGTGTATAATACAGATTGCTTTGTTTTATGCCATTTAGTCTCCCGCTTAGCATCTTTCTTTGTTTTGATTCTCTAACTTCGCGGTTGGTATATATTAGCTAGGGTGATGTTTTTTTTTGTCTCTCGCTGATAGATCTTGACGGAAGTTTTGAACACTCGTCTCGGTAAACATTGCCAAAGGTGCTCTTGAGCCGAGTACAAAACACGAGAGCATCTGGTATGATACACTCAGCAATATCCTACCAATCAATCTGTTATTGTTCTTGACGTCGTTGAAGCTTGTCGGTCAATCGGTCGGCTGGACAGTCTGTAATTTATGACTTTTATGATGTTAGTTACGGAAAGAAAAGTCGTGTAAAACGTTGCGCCATGGAACAATTTCTTTGTTTAACAAAAACAAATATTTCTGTTGAGCGACAATGCACCCTAGAGTGTCAGTGAAGAATTAATCATTTGATCTCGCTCTCGAAGGGATAAAGCAACAAACAATAGTTAATACAATTTAATCTTACTTTCTTTCTTTCCTCGCGAGAGGTTTAAGAGTGTCAACAATAACATTTTATGAAACCGAGGAAGTAATTTAGAATCAGTGAGTTAGATGAAGTTTTCAGATTTACGCCGACAAAGCACTTGCAACATACACCCGTGGACTGTGCTTCAGTTTCACCTAGTGTCAGACGTTTTTGTATAAATCTGTAATACTTCTATGGAATTCATGAACCTTTTGAAGAAGATAAACTGATTTCTTAAAGCGAGCTGTTTTTTGTCTACTAAATTTGACTAAATTTAATACACAAAAAACCAGATCGGTTTAAGAAAATTTCTTCAAGATGTCTATTGCCGATCGTTATATCAATTCACGTATATTCATGTACACTTGTAAACTTGTCGAGTTACTACAGAACACCTTACGCTGCCTGACCTGATTCGCTGTTTAATGTTTTCACGAAACGTCTAATAGTATCATAGTAAAATTTATACCAGCTTGAAAAATTGAAACTTGATTAATGTAAATAAGTTTTAACTTAACACAGTACTAAAACAAACACTCATTTCTGGTTTGATAATCAATACGCGCATTCATGTCAATCAAGCATAGTAGACTGTTATTTACTGCAAGTTTTTAAAGTAGCTAGCTTGACCGCCGTGGCTCACATGACTTTTCGAGCTCTAGTTCTTCTTTCAGTAGGGAATCAACGCTGGTCTTAGACTCAAAAATGCGTTTTAACGCAGTTGCGTCTCACTTGCTCTCTGGTGGCGCGTGGTAACTTCTTTAGAAAAAAATAGTTGTTTTACCCTTTTCGGAAGGCGGTTGTGTGAACAGGAGAAATCTTTCCATTCGCCTTGAGGTCGGCATGTGGTAATGCCTCTCCAGGCGTACAACGTGAAGTTTCGGTAGGATGTTTTATGAAATTATTTTTTCTCGGGAAAGTCTGCAAACAAAAAAGTTGTTGTTACACTGTTGTCATAAAGAAGTAACCCTGGATTCTTTCAGTCATCCGAGACTAAACCTGCTGCGTTAAGTGTTCAAGATATTTGCCAAACGCAAAAAGCTTATATAATAACTTTTAATCTTGCTAATCCCACTAGGAAGTGTTCCATCGCTATTTTTCTATATGTTAGAAAAGTTGCTTTTGTTTATTTTGTGGATAGGCCATAATTTGGGTCATAATTAAAAGTAAAACTTTTGCGAAGTATAAGAACTTATTATAATGACTTATTACCGTAGTAAAACCGCTCCCCAAGTGAGCACAATTTCATCTCACTATTAAAAATATCTAACATCGTGAGGTGTAACGTAATTGTAGATGAGAAGTACGCTGTGCAAAATGTATATTTTGAATGGCATTCTTTGGAGTCAATTTCTGTGAGCTTGCTAAATGTATGATTAAAGTTGCATTGCCTTGGTGATCTAAACAATTTACCAGTCAGTAATTTGTTTTTGTTGTCATATTGAATCTTATATGGAAAC